CGCTCGATCTGGGTGATCTAGAGGGGTTGCAGCTAGTGCGTCTTCGCCGTGCTTGATGGCTTTTTGAAGGTCTCCAAGGTCTCCTATCTGCTCAAATCTCCTAGACAGCATGCCTCCCAGGTTACTAAGTCCAGCTGCTCGATCTGGGTGATCTAGAGGGGTGGCAGTTAGTGCCTCTTCCGTGAGCTTGATGGCTTTTTGAAGGTCTCCCAGGGTGCCAATCCGCTCAAAGCGTTTGTATAACACGACCCCAAGGTAGGCAATTGCCCTGGTACTTTCCGGGTCACCGGTGCGGCTTCGTCTCACTATTTCCTCATTTATCCCTTCCACTAATTCTAGATCTCTCATGCCACCAAGCCGGCCAAATCTCTCTCTCAATAAGTCGCTCTGCACATTTAGCATATCATTGTGAGAGGGGTTCCCTGCTGCATATGTATCGATGGCCGTTTCCACCCGAATAATTGCCGCGTTGAGGTCGCTCAACTTACCTAGCCGCACATATCTTCTGTATAAATCCCCACCAGGGAATCTGTACAGGTTGTGTATGCTCTCGAGATGACGCCGCAGAGTGAGGATACTGCTGCATGCGGCCCCATAGTTGGTCATGTTTTGCTGTGTTTTGTCCATTTCCTCCGCTGCCCACACCCAGGCCATGTCGAGATCTCCCTGATCATCTGTATGCTCAAATTTGTCCCCATACATTTTGCGCAGCTTGGCCGCCAAAACAAGTCTCTCCTGGTGGCGCGAGGTCGTCTTGGTAGTTGCTCCTTCTGCTAGTTCAATTGCCCCATTGAGGAGGTTAAGCTCGAGGGTTTTCTCGTATCGAGCAAAGAGAGCATCGCTGTTTTTTATCATATCAGGTTGCTCTTGATACCACCCATGGATTCTGGGATCTTGTCTTAATGCTCCGCTTCTGGGGTCCCCAATATCCCTGGAACCCGATTCCTCTGTCATCTCTTGTCCGTCAATCCCAATGGGATGTGGAATCTTGGGCCTCGCTTTCGTCGCTTTTGCTGCTGATTAGCACTTCGTTGTTCGTTAATCTGATATGTCTAATTGGCCGCCGGTTGTTGGTGTCTCTGCCAGAGGACGAGGGGTGCTTGCTGTGATGATGCTTGGTAACTAATTGGAGCAATTAGCACAACTCAAGATGCAGACTGGCTTGCTATTGCAATACCTATCGTAGCTGGTAGAGAACTTAATCTTTGCAATGACTTTAGGTACTCAAGTATTCCTGATTCCGGGGGTTTTCCAAAGATAAACACCTTCCTAGTCGAGTCTGGCCTCTATCTCTGTTTTGGTCTTCTGACCGCTCGGTTTAAGGTCCAGTTCCAGTACTTGAAATTGTGAAGTTCTTGTGTGCGAAACACAAAGTCAGCCAATGCTTGTTAAACAAGTTTCTCGGTCCCCAATCTTACCTGTTCTGGGGGCGTGGTGTTCCTGTCTCCCGCCGAACCTTTGTCGCTCAATCTTCTTCCCTCTTCCGGATTTCTCTTTCCAGTGCAGGGAAATTCGGGGTTGGTGGGAAACAGTGGCGTGATGCCGCGGTAGGGAGTTTTATGGGAGGTGGTGAGTGATGTGGTATGAAGAGCTCGAGCACTTTATATTTAATAGCGAGGGAGCTGAGTTATCAGATACGGTGTGCGGAGCTCAGCCTGCTTCTTCTGAAATTGGCACAAAGGGCAGACTTGGTGAATGGGCTGTATTTTCTGCACATTTGCCTGCTATAGCACATTTGCGTGTTGGGATGCATACAAGGCACCGAGGTCTACTACTCATCCATCCTACATCCTAGCTTATCCACCCCCAGCCTAGCCTCGTTTATCATCCCCGGTAATGTTCCGTTCGGGCTACGGAAGCTATGACTACCCAGTATTGAACAGCGCATTCTCGCGTGCTTCGGAATGTTCTCGGAGAACCCCCTATCTGAATGAACCAGACCTACTGAACCTTTCTGCGTTGGAATTGCATGAGTATCTCGCACTTGGTTAATATAAACGATTGGACATACGCTAGTGCAGGAATATCTACAATACGGGTCCGCCAGTTGCGCCGGTGCGGCGGGTTAACTCAGCCTTCCCTACGTTCAGCCTTGGGGAGGTGTACCGGGGGTTGTGGGTAAGTCTGTCGAAGTCCAGCTCATTGGCTCCAGGCCGTGTCGACCACTTAGAGAGCAGCATTTGCTCCAGCCTTGCTCCAGCCGCTGTGCCAAGAGTTCGACAGACTTTTTTCCTTCACCAAATTGTGAAGGAATCCACCAATTATGTGTTCTTTGAGGCTTCCATACACATACAAACTCGGCCTATTCGACAGACTTTTGCGCACACCCTAAGTACAGTACTGTACTGTACCCCACCCTAAATTTCCAATAATGCGAAAACACTTTGCGGAAGTACAGGTACACCTGAGTAGCCCGGAGAATGTATGGTGTAATTAACTGCCTCTGATATCACACGACACGGGTATGACAAGGAATTTTCCTCAGACCCGCTTGTAAAGATTTACCTCGTCTTTTTCGGAATCATCCCCAAGCAAAAAGAAACCCTTGGCATTGAGGCTCAAGACCACCTCCTCCGCTATCCAAGCGTGGATCCTATCGGCTGCCAGGTATCATCAAGTCCCTGTAGGCACGTAGAAATCGGGGCAGTTTGCTCCGTCCAAGGAGGGATTCTGCCCATTGCTACTTGTTGATAAAGGTCGGGGAAAGAAATACGGGTTGTTGACATTGGGGACCCAGGCCAGTTGCATTGGTGTCTACTTTTTGGTTTCTCGGAAGGCCGAAACTTAATGGATTCTGAGGCTAGAAGGGATTCGGGAGCGTTGAGGTAATGTAAAGTGCTGACTTGTACCAAGGCTAATTTTTCGTCGCTCGCAACTGAATCCAGCATGGAATATCTTGTTGGTTGTAAGGCAACTTTTTTTCTATTAAATTTATATCTAAGTTACTCAAGGTTGGTTGGATCCACTCAAACTCCTTGTTTCCCACCCGCCATCCCAGCAGACCATCTCCCCGTTAACCTACGGGACCTGGCTGGTCACATTTTCCGATTTTGCTTCATCCCTATCCGGCAACTATACCCGAACCCGCGCGTGAACTTCGCCCCGAGTACCGATAAATTATATATTGACGTTTTGGAGGGCTGTATGATCACCGACTCCCTACCCGTGCATGGCTATCCATGAGACCTGGTTGGGGAGAGGCAATGTGCCTCGCTTGGATACAGCATGCATGAGAGGAGCACTTCAGGGCAACAAGCTTGAACACGTCATCCATCCAGAGAAAAGTTTTCTTTCGTTCCCGCAGTTGAACACAAGGCTAAATAAGAGCCTCCTTTCCCGCCGAATCAAAAAGTCGACCGCCGTGAGGCTGCCTGCTAGGCTGTATCCTTCTCCCCCGAAACTTAGCTCCCATCATCCGCAACTCTTTACATTCCACGTTAATCATTGAAGTCCCGGCCCCCGGTCTCTAGCCTGTTCGTTACACGCCATTAGGCACCACACCACATCATGCCCCACTGTCCGCCCCGCTGTACGCCGCATGCGGTGAATTTACTCCCCGGCCCACACTCACGAAAGCGACCACGTCCGACCGGCAGAGAAACACGCAAGCTGTTAACTCGCTACGCTGGAGAGGGCGGGGGGTGACCTGCGTGTCTGGAGAGGGTTCCCGCTATTCACCTCAATTTAATATCGTACACTCACTTCACTCATGTTCCGGTCTTGATTGCAATTCGTGGCTTTGGCATAATATAGCCGGCGTCATGACCTGGGACATCGATAGGGGGGGTTCTCAGGGTCCACAATCGTTTTGTAAACTGTACTGCCACTCTCTAGTCCGGTCCCCAGGGCACGAGCACTTGTAAAAATGTGGATCGAAGGTGTTTGCCTCGATATGCCCTTGGTTAGCGTGCACTAGTTCAAGTTCATCCCACAGCCTTCAGTGCCTCCAATGGCGCATCTGAGACACCTGCAGATCCCACCCGCGTGCTCCTGGGAGTTGTATCTCCGATATGCGGGGGACGGTATGTCGTATATTGGCGCTATCCTTTCCTTCACACCGTTTGGGGTTGGACTGGCTGGGAGCTTAGGCAGGTTGCCGCCGATGGTGTATAGAGAATCTCTCCGGCCTTTCTGCTGCTCGGAATCTAGCGTGTTGTCTGTGGGCAGAAAGTCTCAATTGGCGGTGCAGATTTAGGTGGTCTGTCTTGTTTGTTTTTCGACGGTCCGAAATGCACGAGTACCGTACTTTCATTAACTCCGTAGACCACGGGCATTCGTGCACTAGCGCCACGCAAGTACCGGTGGACGCCCTAGGGTAGATATTTCTTCCCAAACGTTGCCCTCCTTAGCTATGTTCCTAACCGCACCCATCTCCCGGTGAGTGAACTGGCTTTACCACGTGCCTAGGTTTAAGTAACCCTCTGCGAAATCCATACCATGATAGCGTCTGCAACATTATATTCCTGAAACAAAGCGCTTCGGGATTACCATGAAAACACGTCCGTATTGTGTATTGTTGCACCCCCGGAGGGATGGAGCACACGGAGTGTTATTTCTACAGGAGAGGAGCCCGGAATAAGTTATGGCGCATTCGGATGTGACTTTACATTGCCGTCTATGCAGTGAGGAGAATGCTTACGAAACAGCTTTAAGTTAGATATGGTACAGGCGGTACACTAGCTAATAGAACCTGGCAGTTTCGTGAACATGTCCGTCTCCCCAGCGGCCTTCTAGTGTTGGAGGATATATATGGGGACAGTGGTATAAATATGGGACTGGGTTAGGGCTTGGCCGGTATGGAGAAACAGTAGGAAGGGTAATCACTGCCAGAGCCTCTGATCCTCCATTGGGCATCTTCTCTAAACTAACCGTAATGACGGACATAAAAGTCCTGATGAAATAATCTCGGTCCTCCCGCAGATTACTACACCTCTCCCATCTCCTCTATGCGCGCCCCTATTCCTCTACACTTAGCCGTGGTAATAAAGGAAAAACATAAATTCAGAAACATCTCCATAACCGTGATAACCCCGGAACAAAAGTAGCCAGTTCCAACCGTTCCGAGAGCTGCGCGTTCAACAAAAATCTGCTACACTTCGCCAGCAACCCCACAACTTCAGCCTTAGTATCTAGGGTGTGCCCCTACAATCTGACCCGTGTGGCGGGAAATTTGCCCACGGCGCCCGAGGTTTTCCAGCTTATATACCGCTATTTTTATTGCAGTGATTCAGCTCTGACCATACCCAGCAATGGGCGTGTGTACTCTACCCAGGCCACAAAAGTCAACCTACATTCTAGTGCAGCTAGCTAGGGGTTTGACAATGAATGAGCGTAGGGAGTCATCATACCAAGGTGCAGTAAACTATAGTTTCTCTGACTCTAAGGTGTCCTACTCCACATCTTTCAGCAAAGAGAAAGTATCCAGTTAGCCTTGATAAACCCCCATTAACTGTTTTTTTTTTTCAAACCCAGTGTAATAATAGCACCGGTAGTAGAGTTATAGTACAAGCACT